TCAGAGAAGCCCAGGATACGGACATGGCACGCTCCATTCAGCAAGGGCTCCAGATTCTGCAAAGCCTGGGGCCGGGTGGTGATGAGCAGGGAGCACGTGGGAAGTATCCTTCTCCTAATTAGAAGGTGCAGCACGTCCTCCTTGGGACTCGAACTCCTCTTCTTTAACTGTTTCTCAAAGGGCCTCTGCAGCTCATCAAAGCCATCCAGGATGAACAGGAGCCGCTCTGGCTGCCTCAGAATCTCTGTGACAGGGGCTTGGCTGTCCTCACAACACCAGACGAGGAGCTGCTCAATTTTGCCCTTGGGCAGCAGGACCACTTCTTTGCAGCTCACATAAAAGACATAATCAAACCGGCCTGGGTACAGGGTACCCGTGGCCCAGTCCAACACCATTTTCTTGGCCAGAGTTGTCTTCCCAGTGCCAGCAGACCCCTGTAGCACCACCAAGAATGGGGCCGGGTAGGGCTTTTCCCCAAAACCAAATAGAGCTTCCACCACGACAGAGTCCAGCTCCTGCTCCAGGATGGGGCAGACAGATGATTCTGGGCTCCCTGAGCTGGGCTTGGCCACCAGGAGCAGTTGTCTATAGCTGCTGTCAACCTCCCCTTCTTTCCTCTTCTGTGGGCAGCACACATGTTCTCGGTATATTTGTCTGTAATCTGAGCCACAAAAATGGGGTGTTAGGTGGTGAAATGAGAATTTAAAAAAGCAAAATGGACCCTCTAAACTCAGATTTGCTCTTTGGTCTAATCTTCTTCTCTGCTCCCTGACTTGTATCTCCCTGAAGATTCTAGTTCTGGCTTCATACGGAGAGGCCTCTGTATGTGCATATGAGTGTGTGCACACATGTGTGTGGTGTGTATGTGCACGTGTGTGAGTGTGTGGGGGGGTATTTGTGGGATGTGTGTGGATGTTTGCATCCACATGCGCTCACAGGAATGCGCTCACGGAAGCTGCATGTTGTGCAGGGATGGCATGTCCGTGTGCATCAGCAAGTGTGTTTGCAGAATATGTGTAAGTGCAAAGTCTCCATGTGTGACAATGCATAAATGTCTGGGTGTCCGTGGGAAATGTCCCCAGGTGAAGAGCTGGGGACAGAGAAAGGAGAAAAGAAAGGGACGCCTGAGCATGGTGAGGGAATAGGAGCCTCTTCCTGGGAAAGGACGGGCCAGATGCTAAAGATAAACCAGCTGCTGAGCAGCAGCAGCAACTTGGAGTCCACGACACTCTCCCATTTTTCTGTAGCAGAGCAGCTTCCGGGCATGAAAGGAGCCTACGGGAGGGAGCACAGGCACCGACAGATCCTCCCTTCTCCCCAGCACCCCACGAGAAGGAATAGGAGGCTCCACGCCCACCCCACTCTCTAGGGTGGTTCCCTGAGAGATCACGGGTCAGAAGACTGAACGAAGCAGCCGGAGCTGCCTGCCAGGAAGCAGCTGGGGCAGGTCCAAGCCTGGCATCCTGAGGCCATTTCTCCTGGTTGGTGGAAATCCCATCACCAGCACCATCCCAGATCTCTAAACCCCTTTCTTCACGAGGTCCCCTTCTCTGACACTGCAGCTGGCAGTAGGAGGTGGGATGTTATGGCCATAAAATACTATAGTCTTCTGATACATAACCCCAACCTTCAGCTCAGGCCCCCACCTGACAATTGTAAGAACCCTCAGCCAGAGACCACTCAGGAGATCCTGGGGCATTGGAGACACCCAGGAAGGCAGAGGCCAGGACGGCAGAAGGCACAAACTACTGGCCATGGGAGTCTCTGGAAATGCCATGGGGGTAGGGGGCCCCAGAACCACTCCACCCTCCCATTTCCCCTCCACACTCACCATTCAGACAAATGAGGCTGAGCTGGTCCACGAGTTCCAACAGGTTCATCACCTTCAAGGCCTTGAGCACCACTCTCACAGCCTCCCGTGCTCCATACGTTAAAATCAGCTTAGATGCCAGGTCCACCCGACTCAGACCCTCCAGCTCCCCTCGGGCCAGATGGGGCTGGCCCTCAGGCAGGGCCATACCCCGTAAGTGGAACTTCAGTATCTTGAAATTGTTCTCCTCAAGTTCACTTAGAGCCCAGAGCAATGCATTCTGGGGGTCACTGGCGAGGACCATGGTGAAGGGTCAAGTTCAGACCAGTGATCTGGAGAAGGAGGTGAGAGCAGAGGTCCCCTGCTGATAGGAGAGCAGCCTGAAGGCACCTTGCTGGGTGCTTGGCAAGCTGCAGAGCAGACGCCAGGGACAGATGAGAGGTGTGCAAAGTTCCAGGGAAGGTGAGCAGATGAGACAGCAGAGGAATTTCCCTAGCCATTCCCCTCTGCCTCTTTGTCAGGTGACCTGTGGCATCTGTCAGCTGGCATTCGTGTCAGCAAATAGGAATATTTTCGGCGTGTTGGCCTCTCCCTCTCTCTCTCTCTCTCTCTCCTTCCTCCTTTCTTCTCTCCCTTTCACACACATTCTTTTTTAGGCCCACTATGCTCCTTAGATAGATGGGTTATGAAACAAATTTATCTCTGAGTTTCCGTTTTAAATTTTCAAAGCGAGCCTGCCCCTGGCCGTGTGAACCTATCCAGAGCTGGTGCGCATTGGCTGGGACTGCTGAGATACGGCAAGAAGGCAAAACTCTACACTCACACGGGCCTCACACGTCAGCCGCAAGGACTCAGTCACACACGATTTCAAAGCTGGAAGTCTTCTCATTCAGATAAGGAGACACGTGCAAACACCGAGCACAAGAGGAAGGGCCTCTTTTGAGTGCCTATCTGCCAGGTGGTTTAGATGTATTGTCCTTTTGATCATCCCAGAAACCATTTCAGGTACTCCTCCAGATGAGAAATTCAGCAGTCAGAGAAAAATGGTTTTCCAGAGTATTCCAGAGCTAGGCCACTGGGCAAAGAGGTGGGATTTAAACTGTGGTCTATGACCTGGGTAGATGCAGAGAGACAGAAAGAATAAAAAAATAAAGGCATAGACACCAGACTCAGAATCCAGGAAGTTGGGCTAAATACAACCAGAAACTGGAGACATTTATAGATACTAAAGTAGCAGGGAAAGAACAGCAGGATTTTGAGCTATGTTTAAAGTATGGAACTAACATGTAGGCAGGGTGGCAGTCATTGGAAAAAGGAAAACAACAATTATAGAAAGCCCTCAGAATTATACCTGTGCCTTAAGGCCAATGGGGACTCCATCTCAGTAGTACAATGTCACATTTGTCACTGGGAATGCTCAAAGGAATATTTGGGAATGGAGAAAGTTACTGCAATTCAAATATAAAAGCATTTTGGCCACATGATGTAAGGGAAATTCATTTGTATAGGCAATACGTTTCTTAGGCCAAACTAAAATGATTGCCAGCGTGTCTTCTGCAGGCCTCCCTGGGAGGCACATGTTAGCACGGTTATGTAACCAAGGTATTATCTCCTACATGATCCCATGTGATCATGCTTTCCCATGGCATGTTGCCACTATTGTTCTGAGCCATATAAAAGTGCTCGCCATGTTCTAGGCCATGCTCTCACTGCCGCTGCATCGCCCCGACAATAAAGGACATGTCTCATCTGCCAGATGGCTGTATGAGGATGGTTTTATATCTGCATGGTACAGGCACAAGAACAGAGATACAGCCCAATAGAACAGAAATCCAGGTTTTTAAATGGCAAGGTAAAGATGACACTTTAGTTTTAAAAGTTACCTACAAACAACAAAATTAATGAGAAAAATCAACCTGAGATTTATACTTAAAAAAAAAACTAAGATGTATCATAACCTAAATTACAATATGAAGAAGGGCTGCCAAATACTGTGAGTCAACAAAGGTGTGTGTCATTCAGAGGGGATACGGCAGACTAAGCTGGAAGAGCAGGATCTCTAGAGTGGTTCCTGGGTGTGGTCCCTGGGTCAGCAGCATCAGAAGCCCCAAGGAACTTGTTAAAAATGCTTGTTAAAATTACCCAACTCCACTATAGATTTACTTAAACAGACACTCTGAGTGGGAGGCCCAAAAATCTGTGTTTTAATATCAATTCAGCCTGGGCAACATAGTGAGACCCCATCTCTACAAAAAAATTTTTTTAATTAGCTGAGCCTGATGGCATGTACCTGTAGTCCAAACTGTTGGGAAGGCTAAGGCAGAAGGTTTGCTTGAGCCCAGGAGTTAAAGGCTGCAGTGAGCTAGGATCGCACCACTGCACTCCGACCGGTGTGACAGAGCAAGACCCTATCCAAAAAAAAAAAAAAAAAAATCAGTTTAGGTGATCCACAAAGTGGTGAAATTATGCTAGACTTACATATTGACCATTTAAATTAAAGTTACTTGGAAGACAGCAGGTGAAAGATCACTCTGACCTTCGTGACCTTCGTGTTGTTTCTTTTTTCTTTTTTTCTTCGACCATATCCTGCATGAACCTGCTGTTTCTTAAATGCAGGAGATGAAATTCCCATGTGAAAAATGCAGCATTTTTATCCTCAAGGAGGAGAAGTTGAGACCAAGAGAACTCCATACAAACCTTGTTAAAATAATTTATCTTTTATTTATTTGCATTTTTTTAGAGACAAGGTCTCTGTCACCCAGCTTACAGTGATAATTTATCTTTATCTTTTAAACCTCCCAACATAATTTAGTTGTTTCTCCACAGCTTACTCTTCTTAGTCCAAATCAGTATAACTGACTCTAAGTGTGTCTTCAGGTCTTCATTTCTTTATGAGGGCTCCCATGAAATGTAAAACTTGTTTTATACTTTTCTCCTGTTAATCTATCTTACATCAATTTAATTCTCAGACTCAGGTGGGACCCTAAGAGGAAGGAAGTGAAATGTTTTCACTCTGACATTCTGACCCACGCTAATATTTGAGAATCTTCACAGCGGCATGCCCTGGAGGTCAAAACCCAAAATCCTCTTGTTTGTGACCATGAGATGCATGGATAGGCTTGCAGTAATGGCTTTCCTGCACCTGCTTTGACATAACTGACACACATAGGCATGGATGAACAAAGGATCACACAAATGTACCATAGTTTCAGGAAGCTATCTGTCAATAAGCTACTATGAAGTAGTGTGACCTACGATTATCTGATGACAGGGAGCAGTAGAGGAAAAATAATTTATCTTTATTATAAAGATTAAGGCAGATTATCAGCAGGTCTTCTAAAACTCTGAAGTGCATCCAAGTCACCTGGAGATCTTATTAAAATGAAGATTGGAATTCATGAGGTCTGTCTGACCCTCTTTGGAGTAACAAGTTTGTAAAGAATGTTTCTGCTAACTATGGGTAATTCATGCTGACTTGGAACAGGACCTGGTCCCTTCTCCAAACAAATATCCTGAAGACAACAGGTCAAAGAACATGCCTTTATCAAACATGGGAGATAATTAAAAGTCATCCCACATCAGAGTAATACACAGAACTAAAGAGAAATGGGAAAAGCAAATGGTATATAAAGAAAATTCACTAAAGCAAAGTTGCCATGGAGAAGATGAAAATTGTCACCAAAAATGTTGCTAAGAATTTTTTAAAATTCCATAAGACAAGAGCACAAAACAAAAAATATATGTGTTCAGGAAAAATATGACAAAATAATAGAAACTGATAAAATCTAAAATGGCAGAATCTAAAGAAGGCTTCGAATTTTTAAATATCATAAATATGTTGTCTTTAATGAAAGCATTGATAAAGAGAAAAGACATTTCTGAAATATAGTGAGAAAAAAAGAGTGGAATAAATAAGCCAAGTAAAGCACAAATGAATAGAATTTAAAATATTAATAATTATACACAGAAGAACTTATACCTATACTGCAGAAATTATCCCACATTGAGAAGGATGTTATGCTCCCCAACTCATTCTAGGCAGCCAATATCACCTTGATAGCAAAGCCAGCAAAGGACACACCAAAAAAAAGAAAACTACAGGCGAATATCCCTCATGAATATAGATGCAAAAATCCTCAACAAAATCTTAGCAAACCTAATCCAACAGCACATCAAAAAAATCATTCATCATGACCAGGTGGGCTTTATCCCAGAGATGCAAGGCTGATTCAACATATGCAAATCTATAAATGCAATCCACCACATAAATAAAAGCAGTAAAAAAGATCATATGATTCTCTCGATTGATGCAGAAAAAGCATTTGACAAAATCCAGCACGCTTTTATAATAAAAACTCTTAACAAAGAAGGCATAGATGGGACATACTTTAAAATTATTAAGGTCATATACAATAAACTTACAGCCAATATCATACTGAATGGGTAAAAATTGAAAGCATTCCCACTTAGAACTGGAACCAGACAAGGATGCCCACTATCCCCGCTTCTATTCAACATAGTGCTGGCAGTCCTGGCCACAGCAATCAGACAACAGAGGGGAATTAAGGGTGCTCAAATGGGGGAAGAAGAGGTCAAACTCTCACTCTTTGCTGGTGATATGATATTATATCTAGAATATCCCAAGAATTTAACCACAAGACTCCTGGAATTAATAATGAATTCGGTAAAGTCTCAGGATACAAAATCAATACACACAAATCAGTGGCATTCATATACATCAGTAACAGTCAAGCCAAAAATCAAATCAAAGACGCAACACCTTTCACAATAGCATCGAAGAAAATTAAATATTCAGGAAAATATTTAACAAAGGAGGTGAGAAACATATATAGAGAGAACTATGAAATGCTGAGAAAATAAATTATAGATGATGTGCTACAGATGGAAATTCTTACCATGCTCATGGATTGGCAGAATTGATATTGTTAAAATGTCCATATTACCTAAAGTGATCTACAGAATTAATGCAATCCCTATCAAAATGCCATCATCATTCTTCACAGATCTAGAAAAAATAATTCTATACTTCATATGGAACCATAGAAGACTTCATATAGCCAAAGCAATCTTAAGCAAAAAGAACAAATTGGGAGGCATCAGTCTACCAGACTTCAAGCTTTACTACAAGGCTATAGTAACCAAAACAGCATGGTACTGACACAAGAACAGAGATATAGACCTTTGAAACAGGACTGAAAACCCAGATATAAAACCATCTTCATAATGTCATCTAATCTTCGACAAAGCAGACAAAAATATACATTGGGGAAAAGAATCTCTACT